TTTATAACCCAACAGAAGTGACAAATATTTGTCACTTCTGTTGGGTTATAAAATCCCGCCACCTGCTGGCCAATCTAACTTGGTGCATGTTGAATAATACCTGAACATTTTACTTGTGGTTTTACTTTCCCCTCTTATTTATTTATTATTATTATTATTATTTTTTTTTTTTATATTCATTAAGGATCCAAATTCTAAAGCAAGGTGCTGCTTCTACTCTTCCTGGGTACAAAGAGTAATTCTAAACACAAAATAAAATTACACGAATGGTGTTATAATAGATGAAAATGGAATCCTCCCAAAATCAGCAATACTACATGATCTTAAGTTTGATAAAGCTCACTTTCAACATGTCATCCATAAACATTCTTATTCATGATACTCTAGTTACACTATAGATTTGACATTATGTAGCTACAATGCATGTTGCTTGGTTTTGTAACATTTGTAATTTCTTTACCATTTCTGTTGTCGCACTGGACCAGATTAACGGTCAGCATCACAGTACAAGTGATGCTGTGGGCTGTTTCTCCTCTAGAGTCTCTGGGGATATTTGTAATAAAGTTGGCATCATAAACCATTTAAAACACCAGGAAATTGTGCTTAGAAGTTAGGTAGCTTCTTCCAGGAAATGGACAACTGTCCGTTAGTTGCACCATATTTTAATGTTTTAATACATATGGACAATGCAACACAGGATTAGTTCTTAAGGCACAAAACCAGCCTTCCTGTCCATCTTTGCCCTCTGACCTGAATTAAGTAGAAACCTGTGGGTTGAAAGGAGGAGAAGAACTAGACTTTCTTTACACAAAAAGGACAAGGTGAAATCTTTTTTTTACCAACACTAAAAACTTTCTTTAGAAGAAGGGACTTAGGATTCTAAATGGTTCTTGGATTAAGAGCATTAATCAACTAGTGTGGCTTTTTTAGAGTAAGAAATTTAAACAAAAAAATAACCAAACAATAATCAGTGTAAAAATGAAATAGTCACTTTAAAATGCCTTAACCTTATAAAGTAGTTTAAAACAGAACATTTGGAGTTCATATCGTTTGAGATATCGCCTTTTCACTGTTCACTCTGCTGTTCACAAATTACTAACCAATAACTCTACTCACCCTATAGCCAGTCGTCATGAGCCTGTACCTCTGATATGTTGGGTAGAAATGTGAAATATAATAAAAAATATATATATATATATATATATATATATACACACATATATATCGCTCTAACTGTAAACTTAAGTCTGTTGAAAGCTTTTTAAATGAGTTTTACAATAAGGGCAATAATTATTAAGGTATTATCAAACCAGACTGAAATCCACATGTGCATTATGAAACACAACTTATACGTACTACATAACAGACTAAGTCAGATCATCTCTTTTGATTGCTGCATAGTTTTCCCTTATTTAATAAATCCACCTGTAAAAGTTCAACTCATTCAGTAATTCCAAACTGCAACTTTTATAACATTAGCTTTAAATTTGAACTCAGTCAAAAACATTTATCTCTTCACTAAGTTGTGCCCTTTAAGGCAAACTGCTTTCAAATAGAAAGACGTTTTAAATTTTGAATCGGCATTGAAAGCTTCTGAATGCTTCAGCTGTTTCATATCTTTTTCAATATAGTTTTTAACGATTTCAGAGTTTCTGCTACAAGATTACTAAAGCTATGGCTCAGCACCTTTTTCATAAATTTTGTGAAACTGTTACTACTAGCAAACACATTGACAGTATTGTCCTATTTTGCATTACACAACTTTTAAATGGTGTCTTAATGAGTTTTGAACTACATTCATCAGAAGTAATAAATAAGAATAAAACTTAAAGGCTGGTTGAAACAAGCTGTCATCCCTGAAAGTAGAGAGGGAATGAATTAGAGCTTTAACTCAGATACAACACAAGGTGGCAGTCTTCACCACAGTATATAAATGATATTGTTGCCTAAGAGCAGCAATACACAACTGTAGATGGTTTTTATTTTCTTAATATTTAGGAGTGCCAATAATGTTCTCTATAAAACCATAAGAAAACAGATTTTCTCATGCAAAATTACATTCTGCAGACCTCTTCACATCTTCAGATCCAGGCAAAGAAGTGCGTCAAATGAAAGCAGGATGACTTTTTAAAGAGTTATTAAAAGGTTTATTACAACAACTTATTAGTTAACTTTTTTTTTTTTTTACAGAACTTTCACATTACAATTACACTGTCAACACAGTACCACACCCCTTAGTAACCATTAAGTCTGAGGGGAAAAACAAAAGAAAAAAAATCACATAAGCCTTTACAAGTTGTAATAACTTGTTTGATGTTTTCTTAATTGAGACAGAAATAAACTGCAAAATTCTCGCAGAGAATCATTATTTCATGCAGATAAGCACATAACAGTAAAACCTTAAAAATCACATTTTAAGAAAACAATGTCTTAACCTGTTTGTTGTTTTTTCTTCAACTACACAGTAGTAAGCCAGTACAGACTAAAAGGGAAAAGGCAAACTGACTTTTAAAGTTGAAATTTGTTTTTTGTACTTATCTCAATTATCACAATTCTTTAGGGGCATTAGCTGTACTGTAACTAACATAGCTAATGTGATTTCAATCCACATCTAAATGATATTGATTTTGCATAAGCCAATTGAATCAAAAATAGATGCATCTCAAAGTGAGTCATTTTTACCAGGTAATGGAGCTACTAAAGCTGTACAATCCTATAAAATGAAATATCAAGACAGATCACATATGATGTATTACTGATCTAATTTCTTTTAGTGTTTCCTAGAAAGTTTTTTGTTCATGGAAAGTTTAATGTTTTGCATTAGACACTTAAGCCCTAAAGAGTCACTTGCAAAGCAAACACAGCTAACAAAGCAGAGCAAACATGTTCAGGGGGCCCTTTAAATCTGGGAGAACAATGATAAACCCAAGCTTAATCTGCATTAAAATAAATACGGAAATCATTTATGCAAAACACATTAATGGCACTGAATAAGGTCAACATCACCATGGTCTGAGGAATGAAAATAAAATGCACCTCAATCCTACAATCACTGCTTCAGGAACAATCAGACTACAGATGGAATGTAAATGAGAAAACACACAGATCTAAGCAGCTCACCTCCATCGGACTATTTTACATGCAGAGGTGAGCCCAAACATTCAGACTTGCACTACGGCCACTACAGCTGATCTCAGCCAAATTCAGCTATGCAATGTCTGTGTCAGCATTCAAAAATCTACTCCTAAAAAAAGCTGCCAGTGCTCAACCAACTCAGAACGTAAACCCGTCATCTCTCAAATATGTGCAAAATGGTCAAACAAACAAACAAAAAAACTTTATTATAACAAGAGTAATTATAAATGATTTAAAACAGAAGAACCATAAAGCACTTTGGTAAACTTATTAATGGACTGCCTTCATGTAAAAAAACATATAGCAGGTAACGCCAACGTTTTTCCTCAGGAAGCGGTTTTTTAAATGGGGCCATTGAGATGAAATTCACATTGTTAGTCAGTAAGAACCAAGATAATCAAATCAAAACCATTGACTTCATAAATTGGTGCAATGGTGCTGAATTATCATTAAGCTAAAAAATCTGTAAGTCAGAGAAAATCTATGAAAACTCATAGAAAGCCAGTATATCAGCTGGAATCTACTAGCAGTAAGACAGGAAAGGTCCATATTAGGAATATTCTGTGTTAATAGGTTCATATAAAAAAAACAAAAACACATTTTATTGTATAGAATTGATTAGAAAAAGCAAATATTTTGCTTATGACCTTTGCAACTTTACTGCTGCGAGACGTTGGAATCGAGGGCTGTGCAATAACCAGAGGGCAAACTCCCTCTTTGTTAAGAGGAAACTGCCCGTTTAAAAACTTTTTTTATTTAAGGTGCCCTCTCCCCCACCAACAAAGCGATTACAAGGAGCACCAATAGAGAGCTTAAGATAGATTTAAGCCTACCCCAAGAAAAGCGTTTATCAGGACTGCAAAGGTCTGTGTGTACATCGAAATGAAAAAAACATTTTCTGGAGCTCATGTAAAATCCACAGCATTTCCTGAGGGCCAGGATTGGAACTACTGAGCTAGAGGATGAACTCCCCATTCTTGGACAATAAATTAATATTTTAAATGAAAGGGGACATTTATTAGAAGATTTTGGATGGAAATCCAACAGAAGACATTGTTATTAACAAGACAATGCCTCAGAAGATACAATCAAGTTTCTATAGTAACCTGAACTGAAATCCAGCAGAAGATCCCTGGAAAGATCTGAAAAATCAAGATTTAGAGACAGATTGTGCAGCAAAACAAAAACAAAACAGTCAAAATCTAATTTCAGTCCTTCATTGTATCATTTTACTTCATTTTCCATAATTAATTAAGTAATGGATTGAATTGTTGTTGATTTATAACCAACACCTGTAGTGTATTTCATCTCAACAACCCCTTTAGTATGTTTTAGAAAAACAGTCTCATTGGAATCTGTCTTTTTTTTGACACCGAATTTTAAACACTGAATTTTTTAGACATTTAATTACTTACACTCAATTTTATCTGGTAAAAATTCAGCTGCAAAAATTCAGCCGCAAAAGTCATTCAGCCGGGAACAGCGGCTGAATGAGGATTTTTTTTGTTAAACAGATAGAATTACAAAACGTCAGTTAGCTACTAACAGACAGCTATTAGAGTTTTTCCTCTTATCAGACTGGGAGAAACGACTGAGCCGATCACAGCTAGCACGGCACCACTGAGCGCAGCCGTTTTGTCACGTGACCAAATGAGCTAATTTCATTGGCTAGAAGCTGCTCAACTCTATCGAGTGTAGATTGCTTTGGCTTGAATTCACCAAAAGGTCAACACTTTTGCGGCTGAATTTTTGCAGCTGATTTTGTTTGCAGCTGAATTTTTTTTGCAGCTGAATTTTTTTTGCAGCTGAATTTTTACCAGATAAAAATTGAGTGTAAGGAATTCAATGTCTAAAAAATTCTGTGTTTAAAATTTGGTGTTAAAAAAAATGTAGTGTTTAAAATTCGTTGTTGAAAAAGTTCAGTGTTTAAAATTCGGTGTTAACAAAAAAGGTAGATTCCAATGAGACTTTTTTTCTTCCATACTTTAGAAATATAACTGAGAAATGTTTACGCGCTTTTTTCCCTGCTGTATAAGATCAATAAATGATTCAAACAGCTATAAAAACAGTTAAGCCACAATTTTTTTTTTTACATGTCACACCTAAAGTGCCTTTCTTTAGTAAAGAGAAAACATTGCATTTTTAAAAGCATAGCCTATCAAGTACAAAATTTACCAAACATCAACAAAACAATCGAGAATAAATTAAAAACTGTAAGGTCCAGAGCTGAAGCTTTCTTTTGTGTGACAGTAAAAGCTCTGAGAGCCAATGGGACTCCAGCGCCGGACGCTCGGGTACAGTTTGAGACGATCAGCTCGCTGAAGGCTGGGACCTGGTGCCTGTCCTCCGCGGCTGGCTCTCCTCTGTGCTCTGCTGTGATGTGGCCGAAGCGGCGCTGGGAGGGGCGGAGATGGCCGCGGTCGTCGAGGAGGAGGAGCTGACTCCGTTGGAGGTGCTGATGGAGCTGTGCTGGATGGCCTCGTTCTGCGGGCTGCTGGGGACTGACATCTCCTCACAGCTTTCATCTTTATCAGAGACTGTACAGGCATCAAGAAAAAGAGGAAAAAAAGTTCAGTCAGGATGCCCAACGCGCTTAGACTGCTATTTACAGAAATCATATTCTAGCAGATAAAATCCAAAAGGCTTGGGAAAACTTTGAGGCAGGAGCCTTAATCACATGCAAAACAGCTATCTGCATGTGGAGTATGCAAAGCATTTCATTAATCCCCATAATGCTACTTTTGCACCCCTTTCCTTTAATTAACGCTCCAATGTCAATTTAAACCTACATCATAAGGGTGCATTACATTCTGGGGCATGTGGCAGTGTTTCCCATCCCTAACTGCATTCTCATTTGTTTCTTGTTACCTTGCCAACTACTGCAGCGACAGATGATTACAGCACCTGATTTTAATGATGCTCACACTGGAGAGTAGGAAAGACTTGGAGTCGAAATGCCACCAGCTGTTAGGCAGTTGCCTTGAATTAATTGGATCCTGATGGAAAAAAAAAGAGACTCCACTCTCATGCTCTGTTTCATACAGGAATAAGGAGCAGAGTGATAATTAATACGGCTAATGATATGAAGTCACTTGTTATGGCTCTCTGTAATTAATGACTGAGTCTTTGAGAATTTAAAAAGATTCCCACTAAAGTGGAGGCTTCATTTGGCCTTAAATGTTTTTTTTTTTTTCCTTGATTCAGTTTCAGAAGGTTAAATCCAGAATAAATTAGACTGGTGAGTTTGTTTCTTGTTCAAGTGAACATCATCACTTCTAACAACGCTAAGTGGTGGCAAGTAGATCTATCATAATATTCTATGTTTCTGCTTCCAGGAGCAGCTTTTCTTTTTTTATTATACTGTTTCTGAAGCAGACCGTTGCTATAAACAGATGGACGGCTCGCCATGCCAGGTGAAACCATGTCCTGGCTTGTTTGTGGGCAGTCTGGGCTTTTCCCCTCCACCTGCCATGGCCACGCCTGGGCAGGATGATGAAGGGTATTACAGGATCTGGAGGGCAGAGCAGCCTTATGGGATTTGTAACATAGAGCTTGATGAGGTCTTTAGTGGATTGGTCAGAGTTTAATATAAAGGCTTTACTAATTAGCAAAATAGATTATTTCAGTGATTTCCAACAAGGCGGTTTGATTTTGGGTACAGTACCTTGTAACAAAACGCATTGAGCTCTTTCAGATTTTGTCATTGTTTATGGGATTTGGATCTGTACTTTGACTTGGCCATTATCACACACCATTTGATCTAAACTTGCTCTGCAGTATGGCTTGTGTCTCCAAGTCTCCAGTCTCTTCCAGCCTCTAGTACATTTTCCTCCAGGATAGCCTTGTTTTTTACTCCGATCATCTAAACTAAATGTTAAATGTTTTATATTTATCATGGTTTGTTCAGACAGCTCAATGTTGAAAAACTCTAAATCATTCCACAGCCTCTGCATCAAACTGACCATATCAATGCTTTTGTTTTGCACCATGTTTTTTTCTCCCACAATGTTTACATTTGATCACTGTTGATCTTGTTCTCACACAATCAACTTCTGCCCAAATATAATGTTTAAACAGGGTATGTTGTGTGGGAAAAGGGTGGAAAAACATGGAGGTAGAGAATTTCTCACCATCACTTCACCAGAGATAGGAAAAGGGAGAAATTAAGGAAGTATTTGTGGAGGAAGCTAGCAGCTCTGAACTGTACCTATTCTGGCTGCACAATCTAGAGCAGGGGTCACCAACGTGGTGCCTGCGGGCACCAAGGGGCCCTAAGGGGCCTGATGGGGTGCCCACAACATCTTCTAAAAACAGCAAAACTGCTTAGATTGAAATTTGTATTTCATTCTATTGCCCTTCTTTTTAATCAGGTATAGAGCATTTCATCATTTTAGTCATACAGAGTATTTAAGCATTTGTAGAGAGCCAAAATGAAATAATAAAAATTAGGCTGGGTATTTTCGCCAAAGTCCTGAATCAATTTGATTAATACAGTTTTAAATCGATTCGTTTCGATTTAATCTGTTTTTACAATAATGAAAGTGGTTCAACTGTGTTTCAAAACACTCATGTATTTTAATTTTTCCTGTCGCATTAAACACAAAGTGCAAACTTGTAAATCAGACAGTTTAAACTTGAGATGTGAACAAAACTGTCTCATAAGCGCAAACTTGTTTGTGAAAAGTGAAAGAGTGAAGCCTCACTCGAGCAAGCAGACGGTGACACAGCAGACATGCATGAGCTGCATTATCTTCGATGCACAAACCATATTTGCAGCGTTGTCTGCATCAACTACAGGGTGTTTGCTGGTCAGCCCCCGTTTGTTAAGGTCTTCAGTCAACCTATTTGCTAAATTTGCAGCTGTCTGGCTTGAAGTAATCTTGAGTGCATCTTTCCTGCTCATTTGAATGTGAACGTCACGCGGGTCACTTTAAAACTAATCGATCTCAATACCTAGACATCGATTTTGCAAAAATGTAAAGGAATCGATTCAAAATCTATTTTTTTACCCAGCCCTAATAAAAATATGTGATTATGTATGAAGTTAGGGTGAATGCTGATGCTCTCTCCTTCCACAAAGGTGTTGCTTGGGGACCGTCAATATATATCCAACCTAGGAACGCAAGTTATCTATTGCTGAATTGATCTTAAGCTGATTGATTTTATCAACCGATTAATGATCACTAATAATGATCACAACAATAGAAAAGCGGCCATTTCTTGAAAGTCGTAGTTTTGTCTTTTATCAAGAGGATCTTTCTTACACATTGATTTTATAAGTAATAACAAATAATGTTTACAGTATCTAACAAAACAGGAAGCAATTAGGTTACTGAATGAAATAAAAGATGAATTAAAGTATGTGAAACACTTATGACTTCCAATGAACAGAGATGTAGAAGACAGGGTGTGTTGCCTTGACATGTGGGGTATTTGCCTCTTTGTTTCAGTGAAACGGGTGGTGATGTAGCTCTCAGTTTTTAGTGTAATGTATTTTTCAAAGTATAAGTCAAATGTTTTTACATGTTTTGCGACCTATACGGCAGAGTGACTTATAAAAATATACAGAATATTCTCGATTAATTTACTGCAATATAACAATTTTACATGACAGAGTCACTCTATGTTTTAATATGGCCGCTGGAATTGCAACGCATCATCGGCGCAGCAGCCTCTTAAGTGACCAGTAATTAAACATGGTTGAAAACTTAACGGATACGGCCGGAAAAAGCGCCACCAAGAAATGTGCTCTTGGCGTGTTGTTCTTTTTTCTGTTTCAGATTGTTTGCACCCTGAGATCTGTTGTAGAATCAAAGACATGTATTCATTCAAATAATCTAAACAGAAGATGGTGCCATTTCTTCTTTTCACCATCACATTATTATCTTGGTTTTTCATGTTAATTTAGCACAACTGTAATGTCCCTGCTACTCAATGTCCACTGTGATTAATTTATGGTTTACTTTTCTTTATATTGGATATATTGGCTTATTCAAATTATAGTCTAGAGCGATTTATAGTGTGGAAAATACGGCAATCAGTGCTGAGACTCTGTGCTGTTAGCAGCACTAACAGTGTTTTCATATTAGTGTTTCTGGTTGCTCTCAGATGTTAAAATTCGACTCCATGAAGAAGTGTCTGAACACACAAAACCTTCCCTATCATCAGTACTTGTTTCTAAAATGTCTTCTCTATCATGCTGAAAATTATTTGTGTAACGACGTAGTCTTTTCTATCCTTAATCCTTGACAACCAAGCATGACAGAGAAGTTACGCTGCCCCACCACGCAGCACAGCTAAATGGGGGATATTTACGTATTAAATTAAGCAGTTTATGGAGTGTTGATATTTACAAACTAGGGGTGGAACGGATCACAAAATCCACGGTTCGGTTCGGTTCACGGTTTCGTGATCACGGTTTTCGGTTCGGTAGATGTTGATTGTTACACCGAAATCCGATAAAAATTAATGAAAAAATACAAAAAAATTAATGAATTGTAATTATTTTGAATGATCTGCGGAAACCCTGGATCATTTCCGCATGTTTTGCTGCTTTGAATTTAATCATCTCGCGCATGCCCTCTACGATCTCCAAGGAACTCCACAGTGGAGGCTGTAGGCTTTGCTTTGTGCAGGTGGTCTGGAGGGCAGCAGGAAACCGCGGCAGACCAAACCAGACGAAAGTGCGCATTCAGCTCGGCAAAGAACTCATGCTCTTCCTCAACACTGAAGTCCTCAGACATTTTTCTTTCGTTGTTTCTTTCTTTG